CATTTAACTTTACAGAGATGTACGACTCCCTGAGAGCTGTTTTCTCATGTGGCATACGTACTCGTTTTTCTACATCCAATCGCGGCGTGTGATTCAATTTCTTCAGCCACAAAGTCCTCTGATAACTTCCTAAACTCGATATGTGGTAGTGTATAGTGAAACATAGAACATGTGTGAAAATGTACATCGCGACGAGAGAAGACCGCGAGCAATGAAAAGTCGTCGAATATACGAATTCGGCTGGAAGTGGAAGAGTCTCCTAAAATTTTCAAGAATTTTTCGTTATCTCAGCAATAAACATACTACATAATTAGCGGGGGTAGTAGCAGTCGGTGTCGATAGTGCTTGTGGTAGTGGTGGGCTAGTAGTATAGAGGAAAGCGGTGGGGAAGGAGCCCAATAGCGCGAACTACTCGAGCGACGGCGGGACTTGACTGGGAGAGGGTAGGGAAGGAGGGGAAACCTGAAACCAATAATGAGTATCTTAAACAATGCTTCTAGACTTACCGGAAAGTCATCCCTCCTCTCGCGGCGCGGCCAATGGAGCCGGCCGCCTCGGCCCCATTGCGAAGACCGCTTGTTTTGAACCATCTTGAGAACACCAAAGGAATGCTTGCCGGCAGTGGGGGGGGGGAATTGTGTGAGCTATAATGCCTTGTCCCATGGACTATAACTTGAATAAGTGGTGATGTTAATTGCTCATTTTAGGTTGACTAGTATAGTGGTAGAGCAGTAGAAAATCGTTCAGACGCTTCAGGTTCGATTCTAGGATAGGTTATTTCTCGGAACTGGTTTTGAATTGTTACGTATGTAGACATACTATTGTGTAATTGTTACCACATTTCCGTCATATCGAAACTGCATAGGGCGCTAAAAGTTTCGAGTATATTTGGTTCTTTTGTTACCACGCTTCTTTGAACTTGTGTTTGAAGTAGGTACTTCAAAGTCAGTGCTAATTAATCTCCGAGCATTGGACACTGCATCGGAATGCTCCTTCGGGAGTGCTCCTTCGGGAAAGCTCCTTCGGGCAAGCTCCTTCGGGAAAGCTCCTTCGGGCAAGCTCCTTCGGGCAAGCTCCTTCGGGCAAGCTCCTTCGGGAAAGCTCCTTCGGGAAAGCTTGTCTATAAGACAATAGCATAGTCACTTATTGTGTTGACATGGGAAGGGTAGTCTGCGGTAGTGCATGACTGATATGCATAACCACTTTTAGAGGGCTTGTCATGCATTTTAACAAAGACCATCTCTTTGGACTTGTGCTTGTAGAGAACACAACTGTGAGTTATGCAATAGTTTGTCTATACATACATACGCACAGTACATGACAATGTGCATACCTTCCCATACCGCCCTGTGCAGACCAGCTCCCTAACATCTACTGAACTCGATCCCAGTGCAGTAGCGACAACAACAGTACGATCAAACGCACATACGAGCATGGGCACACTTAACATTAAGGATGAGCTCAACCCTGCAGTCGACATGGACTGGGATAAGGCGGGTCCGCCACAGGCTGGTCCGGAGGATTGCAGTCCGAGTACGGCTGAAATTGAACCACACTTTTACACCAGCCAGGCGCATCAACTTACTGCACGAGTAGCTGACGGAGACTCCTCATTATCAGCATCATCTTTAGGAGGGTCCACATGTGGTAGAATATTATCAGGCAGTAGTCCACTATTGCTCTCCCTGTCGAACGAGTTAGAAATATCCTAAATGTTGGTATAAAGCGGTATTTTAGTGTCACATTTTGAGATACCGCACCTTCACACCATTATCGCCGGAAATTTCCACACTTCCACTCGGACCGACTTTAGCATCTGCCGGTTCCGGAGTAGTAGGAGCCTCCGAGCTCGAAGACGTGGCAATAGTGGTGAGCGCCTAAATGGGAATCATTTGGAATGACCATGTAGTGACCATTGAAGCTTTTATCCATAGAATACTACGGATCAAATGTTCGCATGGTCACAATACTTTCTCATCGGTATTAACCCGCTCCCCGTAACCCGCACAGGTTCGATCCTCCCGCTCCCCGTAACCCGCACAGGTTCGATCCTCCCGCTCCCCGTAACCCGCACAGGTTCGATCCTCACACACTATTACATTAAAGGTTGGCGCTCCCGTAATTTCCTGAGTCGTCTCCAAGCTAAGACTATCCGAATCTGGTTTATGCTTCTAAAAAATCAGTAGCATACAACTGTTCCTTTCTGAACCCACTTCACCTTCTTCCTAAACAATGTGTGATTCCGTAAGAACTTTCCGAGGCTTCGCAGTCTCCAACGCCCAGAATGGCCGACCTCCGCTGAGCGCAGTGCGTTATTACAAGACTTGTGCGAGCAGCAACAGCTGCTACACCC